TTTTGGAAGGCCAAACAAAGTAGTTTCACTTTCACAACGAAACACACAGCGTCTTCACGACATGGCGGCCGCGGAAACAACAATACTACAATGAGAATAAAAGTTACGCCTTCTTGCTTTGCGTGAATATTTGGGCGGCGTTATGCAAATCTTCCCACATCGTCATGTAGACATGTGGGGGCGTGCGAGAACGAGCCGTTTTAGGTAGGCGTGGTTGACTCTTAACTTTTATAAAGAATATCTCTTTGGATTTGAGACTTTAGTCTTTGCAACTTTACAGATCTTCTTTATGCACCAAGAGCTTGTAACACTCCAAAGAGAAAGGAAAAATTTAAATCGCATCATATGACCCCTTTAAACAATGTGGCGCAGGACGTGAAAATGACAACTCCGTCAGGCTGAAACTAGCAAAAAACACTTGCGTCGCGCCTGAAGCCGCATTGCACCGGGTGTATGATAGGGCCCTAAGTGCATTAAAGATCATGGATGCGTTTTTCAAAAGCATAATTAGCCAACTTGGTCCGAACGTTACTAACATAGTTCAATAATTCAGCATTTCCTGAAACCAAAGTTCCAACGAACATTCGTAAACAGAATCGAAAACTTGTGTGGTTGCAACTACAGCAAACCTGTGGTTTGAAGCATAGTTTCTTGTACGTATGTCATGTGGATTCACATAGATCATGCTCTTGGCCACAGTACGCATTCAATATCTTTCATTATATTTAAATATGAATATATTTCAAACTGCAATCATGTCTACAAACAAGACCGTTTTCGAAGAGAGCGCATGTGCATAAATGAGTAAGTGAACCCTAGACTATGGCATAAGAGGGAACCTGCAATGAAACAACCATAAAATAAAACAAAACGACGGGTAGCAAAAATAAATAAATAAATAGCGTGTACGCCAATTACATACTACATGCAAACATGATTTAAAAAAATAAACTACATTTTATTGTTCTGTGTGAATTAACTAAAATTGACATTATTTGCGACCTTGAAATTATTAATTAGCATAGGTTTTTAACACTTGTGTGTGACATCAACAAAAGTCCTATAGTGTTGAACCAATATGGTTCAAATGAAGGAGGCGAGTGAAAAATGTGAAACACACCCAAAAACAGGAAATAGCATGGTATGCTGCAATAAATATTATATGTATTAAAAATATTCTCACATTCTTCTGGTGTGTGTACTCAAATTATGTTGTGTTGTCATTTGACTAAAATCAGTCAGATGAGGATGATCTTGTTATTCTCCATTGCAAAACTTGGTGCCGTTGAGTCCACAATGCACTGATGCCTAAATCACAACACATGATGCATACATGGATTTGTTCTTAACCTTGTTCTAATAATAATAAAGTTGGAGTATTATGAATGAGCGACAGTGTGCCCTAGGTTAGTAATTTGCATAAAACACGCCCAAATCATCTCCATAAAAGGGCTTTCCACACAACTGTTTCTTTACAGCCTTTTGTCACTCTCAGCAAATGTATGACACTCTCTAAGGCAGGATCCTCAAGCAACACCAAGTGTGCCATCCTCAAAACCGGATCAAACACAATAAACACCTTTTATACAGACCAGATCTCATGAGCCAGCTGTACTTGTGTTTGTTCATATGCAGATTTCATGCACAAATTCATGGTTAGTGAATGAGATACAGTGTTTTAATAATGTCACACTTCTCAGTAAAAACAACCTCTTAGTTGTAGTTGTCTCTGATTATTAAAGGAATAGTTCACCCAAAAAAATAAAATTTGCTGAACATTTACTCACCCTCAGCCAATCCAAGATATAGATGTGTTTGTAGCATTACATCACTTGCTCACTATTGGATCTGCAGTGAATGGGTGCCGTCAGAATGAGAGTTCAAACTGCTGTTAACCATCAGTTAACATCTTGTGAAGCCAGAAGTTGCATATTTATAAGAAACAAATCCATCATTAAGATGTTTTTTTTACTTCAAACTGTTGCTTCTGGCTAAAATACAAGTCCTCTATTCATAATGCTGTATTCTCCATTGAAAAAGTCATCTTATCTGAATCAGGAGAGAAATCAAGCACTGTTTACAAGCCAAAACAGTTCAAAACACATATGTTGGTGGATTCTGATGCGAGAAGACAACGGGATTTACTTTTTAAACTATTATGAATTACACATTTGTATTTTAGCCAGAAAAACAAAACACAAAAAAGAGGCTTTTTTTTTCACAAACACACAGCATTTGGCTTCACAGAACATTAACTGATGGACTGGAGTGGTGTGGATTATTTTGATGTTTTTATCAGTTTGGACTCTCATTCTGACGGCACCCATTCACTGCAGAGGATCCATTGGTGAGCAAATGATGCAATGACACATTTCTCCAAATCGTTTTTGATGAAGAAACAAATCCATTTACATCATGGATGGCCTGAGTGTTTTAAGTTTAATTTTTTTTTTTTTTTTGGGGGGGGGGGGGAACTATCCCTTTAGGCTGGTATAGCAATAATCATTTTAATATCCCAAAAAGCAACTCACTTTTTCATGTAGTAACATATAACAAAGCAATCATGACTGAATTTTATTAGGGCTGAAGGGTGTCGCTTTGTTGCATGCTGTTCCTTTCAGCCAGGATTATAGTCACAATAGAACAAGATTTTAGAAGATCTCACTGAAATGAAGAGCTGATAATGTAGGACTTTTTCAATCATTGTTGGACATCCATGTTTGCTGTGGCTCTTACTTATAAAGGCTGTCGGGCTCCAGGCACTTGAAAAGGAGAGAGTAGATCATACTGTGAGGATGTTCTCCACTTTTGCGTCCTGCTACCACACACGATGAGCCCAGACCCGAGAAAAGGTCATCCATGAGGCTTAGAACCTCTCCTGAGAAACACAGAAATGGACAGAAGGACATTTATATTAATAAAGGACTAGTACATCCAAAAATGACGATTCAGCACTCTTAGGGAAAATAAAAAGTACAAAAGATATACATTTAGGGTTACAACAAGTTGTCATTGGGGTAGTACCAGTGACATGTATGTATAAGTACAAGTACATTATCACCTAAAAACTCTTAAAACTACATTCCGTGACACAAAATCAGTATTATTTTAAATTACAGGAATTGGGCATTCACCATGACACTCGCTGTGAGAAATATGGCAAGTAGAGTTATCCAAACGGTGAAATGGTTGGAGGAGAGCTTTTATCTTATCTTATCATAGTTCTTTGTAGTTTGTAATAGTTCTTATTAATTTTAATTTCAGTTTTAGTTATTTTAGTACATAAAGTACCAACATCAGAAACTATGTCTTGGCAAATAGCTGAAATAAAATAAGTTTAATACTAAGTTCATATTTATTTTATTTCAAGTAATATTTCTGTTGCGTATACAGCTAAACACGTCTCCATGTGGATGGGGCCTTAGTTATTCAGTGCAGCAATTCAGCACGTAACACAAGAACGTTTGGTGTCTTTAAACTTTTTTATTTTTTTTTTTTATTTGAATTTTTCATTTGCAAATTTTCACTTCAAAATTATTGTCACCATTCAGTTTGGTTTTATAAAATGAGTATGCATATACTGTTCAACATTTGCTTGCATGCTCCACTGAGTAAATCAAATATATTTATTTCCTGCAAATAGCAGTTTAACAAACAAGAAAACTCAGCTTTTGGGGAAATATTAATAACAGTCATTTGCTAAAATCAGTTCCCAGCATGACCTAAGAGGCAAAGCGGACAAGAAAAATGCAAGCAGCAAAAATAACAATTGACACCTCCAATTTTAGCCACTCTGGAGCTAGACGAACGTGTCGTAGGCTCACATCAGTTTTTAACACGTTCCAAAATACATATCAAAACGGCAGAATGCGTCTGCATTGTGCATCCCAAGGGTACAGTAAAAAAAAATGGGCAACAGAGGGGAGGTCTAGAAAGGGGGGATTGAGTGAACGAATGATTTAGCCACTTTCCCAGAAAGCACATTGTATATAAGGGAAGCTTCCCGCTCACATTCCAACACCTCAAGAGTGCCCAAGCCAAGATATTTTTTATAAGGTCTCAAAACCCTTTGCTTTCACTTTGTGGCCCCCATGTCTAAAGAACTTCTGTATATTTTTGACAGTCATGAAATGGAAAACAATGGAATGTTAAGTCCACATGACCGCAGAGGTTCTGTGTTGAATAATCCCAATGATTGAATGACCCTAAATTAATGCATAGTTTCGTCTCGTCCAAGAGGCCCAGGTTCTGTTTCTCTTATGCCTCCCTTGAAGTTGACCGTCAAAACAAAGCATAGAGAATATTCCAGTGTTCTATAGGCTAAAAGGTTGTGTGAGGCTGTGATGACAGAAAACAAAGACTGCTGCAACTAACAATTATATTGATAATTGATTATTCTGTTGATTACTTATTAGATTAATCGGATTAAAAGCCACATTTGTTCTATATTTTATATAAATAATAATACTAATAATAATAAATTATCTATATCTATAAATCCAGCAGAACCACACTGGACATGTACACATACAGTATATTTGGTTAGAAAAAACCAAAACCAAAAACTAAAGCATGGCCTTTGTTCAAGAGCAGCCAGTTCTGTCTTCAGGCTCATGAACTGTGTAAACATGAGCTGTTATGATTTTACCGTATGTGTGGCCCTGGCCTGAATTATATAGGAAGAATTTATGGAACATATCTGCAGTTATGCTCCGTTTGCTTGAACCCACGCACCCAGAAGAGGCCACCTGTTTTGTGTTAAACATTAATTGTACTGAAAGCACTGTATAGCAATGCCATGCACACACGGATGCGTCTCCCCTGCAGCACGGGCCACGATTAGCTAAGTGACACTTTTAGAGCGGTCTTGCTCTGAAATATATACAACTGCCAGAAAACAAGCCAGCCGGGTTTTCTTGGATTGTTCGGGAACCTTGTGAGACCTGTTCAGTTTGTTTCTTCGGACTATTAGCAGTGACAAGAGGTCAAGAAGTGTTTAAGATTGACTATCTGTATTACACTGCCAGGCTCTCGGTCCATTACCCTCACATTGACACAAAAATGCATGGAATGTACGAGCGGAGCCAGATTTCACAGGCCCCCTGACAGCTTCAAGCGAAGAGAATGTGCAATGGTGAAGGGAAATAAGAGGCTTTGATAGGTACAGCAGAAGGCAGGGGGAGGAAAACTCTGTTTGATGTTTCCGCATGAGATTTGACTCGAAATGCTATCTTTGTATGTTTTGATAATCAGAATAAATCAATAGTCCGGTCCATGACTGGGAGGAAGGAAAGCAGTCACCCGTGGGGCTGTTTCAGGGGTTTGCTAGTAATTATCACATACTCCAGCAATCCTAAAGGGAAAAACAGTACAAATAAGTCAACAAGCCCCAGAAAGGAAATCTATGCACACGTCCGAAATGATCACCCACATCTGCTTTGGTGCTTAAGACCTGGACGAATTAGAGCCGAGACGTGCGTGCTATATCTGACACGACTTACATTTACACAGTGGATCGATTACCGTCCAGACTGAGAATCTGCAGTCTGCGTTTGGAGATCTGACATCGGGTTTGACAGTGTCGGAATCTCAATGTAAAGCTCAGGTCTACGGCACACGTGTTCGGCATACAAAACTCTCTGCCGCCACTCTTCCGTTCACTGCACACAGCGAACACAGATCTCATGGGCTCGTGTGTGTGGACATCAAAGTTGCATGAGTCGCATGTTTCCGGATTTTTGTATGTCCATACGGAGGAGTGTCGGCACTTTAAGGTAGGCTGGAATGAGGGGGTTTGACACACGCCTTCTTCCATATACTCTCAGAAAATAACATGCAAAAATTATACCTTTAGGGGTACAACAGCTTGTCACTGGGGCAGAACCCTCAAATGACACTTGTACCTTCTTTAACCCTAAAGGGCTCATAAAAGTACCGTAATAGTACATATTACTACCGTAAGGGTACATAATGCTACTCTAAGGTACTAATACGCACCATAAAGAAGGTGCAAAGGTATCTCTTTGAGGGTACTGCCCGAGTGACAAGCTGTTGAACCGCTAAAGGTACAATTTTTGCACTTTTTTTTCTGACAGGGATATGGTGGCATCTGCACAGCATTTTAAAATACTTTGTTTTCTTGAGTTCATACATGACAATGCCTGCTCTTGACGTGTTACTCACTCTCATTTGGCTGTTTGTGAAATCGCCAAACTACATGGTCTTATGTTAGTTTTGAGTTTGGATGCACATTGCCGCCTTATGCAACTCCTGGCTGGATTTGAGAAAGGTTCGCAGAAACATACGTTTCCATATTTACAGTGATTAATGTGAGTAATAATAATAATAGCAAACCGATAATGTCAAAATGTAGGACAGGTATAGGACAGGAAGAGCTAAATAAACTTATCATTGCATCTAAACCAGCAACATGCCTGTTAGATTCTGCACCCACTAAATTACTAAAAGAGTTGTTACCTGTAGCAGAAGAACCGCTTCTCAATAAATACTTTGTTTTCTTGAGTTCATACATGGCAATGCCTGCTCTTGACGTGTTACTCACTCTCATTTGGCTGTTTGTGAAATGGCCAAACTACATGGTCTTATGTTAGTTTTGAGTTTGGATGCACATTGCCGCCTTATGCAACTCCTGGCTGGATTTGAGAAAGGTTCGCAGAAACATACGTTTCCATATTTACAGTGATTAATGTGAGTAATAATAATAATAGCAAACCGATAATGTCAAAATGTAGGACAGGTATAGGACAGGAAGAGCTAAATAAACTTATCATTGCATCTAAACCAGCAACATGCCTGTTAGATTCTGCACCCACTAAATTACTAAAAGAGTTGTTACCTGTAGCAGAAGAACCGCTTCTCAATATTATTAACTCGTGGTTGTCTTTAGGTCACACCCCAAAACCATTCAAGCTGGCGGTTAAGCCTCTTATTAAGAAACCACAACTAGATCCTTGTAACGGAAGAGGTCTGACGCAACAGGTTAGTATATATAAAATAGGTTTATTTGGTCACAGAGAGTACTGGGGTAGGGTTCAGAGGATGTGATGGTGAGGGAATAGTTTGAAGGATATGATGAGTGGGGTAATCCGGGTCTTTGGCTTTACAGGAGCTGGAATGCAGGCAGGAGGAGCACACACCTCAGCGATCCGTGAACTAGGAGGAACAGGAGACACTAGGAGGAACACAGGAGGTAAGTAATGCAGAAAGTATTCACATGGCAGTAGTAGCAAAGTCATTGAGTCCTCTACGTGTATACGAGACCGGGCAATGAAGGCGTCTGAGGTGTGTGCTTTTATGCAGGCTGGTTAATGAGGTGCTTGATTAGTGACAGGTGCTGGTGCTCAGAACTCAGGTGAGAGGGATCGTTGTGATTGGGTGGTGGTGGAGCCTGGCCGATCTGTTACAATCCTAGTGAACTGGCAAATTACAGACCCATTTCAAATCTTCCTCTTATGTCTAAAATTTTAGAAAAAGTTGTGTCTGCGCAATTGTGCTCCTTCTTATTCAATTCGGATAAGACAGAAATATTACTTATTGGACCAACATACAGTACACAGAATCCCTTGTATTACAATTTGCAACTAGACTGATGTACTGTTACTTCCTCTACAGTCAAAAATCTGGGTGTTATATTAGATAGCAACTTGTCTTTTGAAAATCATAACGTTCGGGGTTCAGACATGCTCTCTCTGTTTAAATCTAGATTAAAGACACATCTCTTTGGCCAAGCATTCAAACAATGCATCTCATAATATTGTACTGCAGTTATATCTGATCAAATGCACATTATTATTCTTGGGTTAGCTTGGGTTAAACAAATCAATTTTGCTTGAATTGACATCCCGTGGTAACTAGGAT